TGACTGGAGAAAAGTCCCGCCATTGCCTGGACTTGATGAAGGGAGACGGGCTCTTTCACTCGTGTTGGCCGAGGGCAGTGTCGTTTGGCGTACTCCCGGACTTGCGTTGTGAACGGGTCGTTCGCTGGGTTGGCTGACCCTGTCATGTGATGGGCAAAGCTGACTGCAGCGCATGTGAGCTGTACGCTGGAGACTGTGGCCTTGTGGTTGATTGCGTGCACTAAGTAGAGTGCTAGTGTGAGATCTGCAGCAGGCAAGAAATCCACTCTTGCCTTAATGCAAAAGCTGCGAAACTTCTCCCAGTATGGTTCGTATGTGTTGATTGTTGATTCCGATCGTGTCTTGGCTGTCATAAGAAGTAGCTGGTGGTGCAACCTTGGAAGCATATCTGTAATCATAGAATACAAGAATGGTACATCAAGATTTGTAATTGACTTTCAGTGCTAGGATTCGACTGACTGGAAGCCCAGCACCCGAAAATGCATGTTCATGGGAGCCCACATGCAAGCATTGACTACCACTAGCAAGATAGAGGATGGAGGAAATGCCGATTGCCCAGGTGTGTGGGGAGGGTCTGATTAGGGGCCACCAAGCAGCGCCTGTCCATTCGGGAATGACCAGCGTCATTGTGGCGTTCGTGCGTGCGGCATGGTGCAGGGTCGCGGGGATGAGGCTCGGTGGCGGAAATGCGAAGCCGTGCTCTAATCCCCAATCGAGCGAAAATGCATTTATGGCAGTTGCGCGTGGGTGCGGATGTTTAGCACAGAAGCGCGAGAGCTGTGCGTTGTTGGCGTTCGTGAATAGGTCGATGGTGTGTGATCCCCAACGCCTGTCCAATAATCGAAACCATGGGAGCTTGAGCGAGTAATCATCGTGGTCTTCCAACTTGGACAGTGCATCTGCATGCGCATTGAGGGCCCGTGGAATCCATTCGATGGCCAGCCGGGTTTCGTGCGCCATGCAAATTGCGACGATGGCCTTGCACAGAAGAGTGAGCTCAGGCTGGCGAGAGCCGCCTTTGCGAAGAATGAAGAAGACGCCTTGGTTGTCCACTCGAATGAGTACGTGGCGGCCTTGGATCTGGTCCGTGAATGTCTGCAGCGCCCATAACACTCCCTCGAGCTCTCGGCGTGTGCTCGATGTGGAGAGAAGTTCTTTTGGCATGGGGCTGCTTCCTTGCGAGCTTCCGCCAGGGAAGGATGAAAGGGTTGCACCCCAACTGTGCGCGCTAGCGTCGACGTGAATGACCGTATCCAGACTGTGGGGCATGTGAAACGGGGCCCCGTTAAAACGGTCAAAATGGTCAAGCCAAAATTGTAGCTCGTTGCGAACCTCCGAGGTCAGCGTCACCCGTGCATTCCATGATGGCGCCTCATTAATGAGTGTCAAAAGTTGATGGCTGAAAGAGCGCGCCGTCGTGCCAAGGGCGAGCGCCATGGATGCAAGAATGCCAGTGACTCGGGCGACGAGGCGGATTGAAACCCGCTGGTTGCGCTCGTAAGCGAGAAGCAGCACACGTAGTGCTTGTGTAAGTTGCGCCTTTCTCTCCTGGCCGATAGTGAATCTCCCGGATGCGGTGTCCAGCTCCATTCCGAGGAAGTGCAATCTTTGAGTCGCGGCCAGGTGTGACTTTTTTGCGTTGATGATGAGCCCTGACTCCTTGAGGTCTCGAATGACTGCACCACTTTTCAAACGAGCGTCCTGTTCCGAGTCGCAAAGGAACAATATATCGTCCACATAGGGTATGACCCGAATACCTTGCGCTCGCCATTTCCGTGCCAACTGCTTGATCAACTGGGTGAACAGGAAGGGCGCTGTAGCGAGGCCGAACGGTAACGACTTGAAAAAATAGTCAGTGCCTTCGAAGTGAAAGCCTAGGAATGACCAGCAAGATGAATGAATATCGATGTGATGATAGCCAGACTTTAAGTCAACCGAGAACATCCAGTCGCCCGGCTTTGCCAGTTCAGCGACGCGAAGAAGACCTTCGTACTTGAATTTGGGGACAATGAGGTATTGATTGACCTTTCGCAAGTCGAGAATGAGGCGGCACTTGTTGCGTTGTTCCGCAACATTGAGTGGGCTGATGCATGTAACGGCCGATGAGCTAGATGCAACTGCTGCTGCTCCCGACGTGAGCAATTCCTGAATTGCCGATCGGGTGAAGTCGGTGTGCTTCAAGACTCCGGCGTGATTTTGATCGCGAAACGGCGGCGGTGAGAATGCCTTCCAAGAAAGCCAATATCCATTAGCAATGACCGACAGGATCAAGGAGCTCTCGCACCACGAAGCCCACCAAGCGAAAGCCTGTCGGAGGCGACCACCCATGATGGTGACGTCGCGATCGATAACTGCAGTTGCCAACATCTCGTCCTGCTCCCCTGACCATGAAGGCGTGGCGGCTGCCATGGGGTTTTTTGTTTGGGGATAGCAGGGGTACGGGGTCGAACCATGACGTTAAATTACGTGATATGTACTCACAACGACGTGCAACTCGTGGGTCTGACAAGGGTAATGAGATTGCGAGTGCGCGTGAGTGAGGTGCGGCTGAGAATCAGTTGGATTCAATAGGTATCACCCCCTTTGTGGGTATCAAAGGGAGAACCAGTCAAGTGAGGGTCCATGCGCGTCGTGCGCGCGCTTCTCTTTCTTCTTCTTCCTCTCTCTCTCTCTCTCTCTCTCTCTCTCTCTCTCTCTCTCTCTCTCTCTCTTTCTCTCTCTCTCTCCCTCTCTCCCTCTCTCTCTCTCTCTTTCTCTCTCTCTCTCCCTCTCTCCCTCTCTCTCTCTCTCTCTCTCTCTCTCTCTCTCTCTCTCTCTCTCTCTCTCTCTCTCTCTCTCTCTCTCTCTCTCTCTCTCTCTCTCTCGGAAGGCACGTTAGCCTGATGGCTTGGTAACAAAAGGTACTATTGTCCAACGAGAACTCACTATGCCTTGCCATGCCAAGCATTGTTACTTGCTCTTGCTATTGGGTTGGTCGTTGCCTTCCCATACATTTCTCCCTCTCTCTCTCTTCCTCTTTTTTTTTTTTTTTTTTTTTTGTGACATAACTTGTCATAAGGCTGGATCTCCAAGGCCAACGGTCTGAGCAACATTCCATTATAATTAGAAATACAAGTTCATAGCCACCCGGGCTTTGCGTAAGAACGCACACACACGCATACACACGTACACAAACACCCTAGGGCAGTCCATGCCTCTAGCCTTGGGCTAAGCAGCCACTACCAAGGACCCCTGGTCCACGCCCGGCCCAGCCCTCTCCCACCCTCCATCAAAGGCAGCCAAGGTATGAGAACCTTGGGTGCGGGGAAATGGGAGGGCGAGGTTGCTTAGGGCTTCTCTCACACCACCGGTGCGGGCCCATTGCCCCCATGGCCTCCGTGGGGGCATGCGCTAGCCATGTGGCCATTCTGGCCGCATCGGAAACAGGTTCCCTTGAAGCCCCGACAGCCGTTGCCACTGCCCATGGTTTTTGGCATGAAGTGGGGGGAATCGCGGTGAAACGGACGGCTCCCGCGGGCGAAGCCGGTCTTCATACGCTTGAGGGCTGCCATATCCGCCACTGCCATCTTGAAGGAGCGTGAGGTGAGCACCGCCGTAGTCTTAAGGAGTTGGTAGCGCTCAGCCACATCGAATCCGGCATGGTCGGCGACGACCAAGACGTCGAAGCGGTGCTTGATGAGGTCTTGGGCTTGGCCGACGGTTTTAAGAGCACCGGCGGCGTCGCCTCCGCGGATCTTGTGTTCCACGTGTGCCAGGTAAGTCTGAAGCGCCTCGAACACCTCCGCCTGGTCACGGACGCCTTTGCGGTTGAAGGCGGCGGCCGCGGTGGAAGGGTGAGGAGAGGGAAGAGGGGGGAGGAGATCGTTAGGCAAGAGGGGCATAGGGTTGTTTGGTTCCTCACCCGCATCGCTGTCGGAGTCGGAATCAGAGTCATCGGGTGCAGCGGGTTCATCCTCGACGGCTGGAGCCTTTCCCTTGTCGGCGCGGTGAGATGCGGCAACTCTCGCAGAAGTGGAGACGTTGTTGCGGATGTTTGCAGTTTTAGCGGAAGCGAAATTTTCCGCTTCTGTTGTAGCTGCTGGCGTTGTAACCGGGGCCGCGGCCTGCTTTTGGAGGAGCGCCAGCAGTGCCGCCACTTGCGAGGGCGAAAGATTCGCCGCCGCCCCCTCGGTTGCAGGCGAATCCGTCGCCCTCCGCTTCTGGGTGGCGCGCGATCCTCCCGACGAAGTCGTCATCATTGGCGACTGCAGGCCCATGAGCCTGCTCGTGGGACGCGCGTGGCTGAGGCGCGCGCGAGCGTGTGCCGCCGCCCTCGCCGAGCAGCACGTCCACCCCAGTGTGGGGCCCCTCGGCGTTTTCCTCGGTGGGGCGTTTTCGCTTCTCCGCGCCGGTTTCCCAGGTCGTTTTCTCAAGCCCCGACGACGGTCGAGGAGTTGCGTCCTTAGCCCCGAGGCTATTGTTGTTCGTCGGCGCCATAGTCGAAAGGTTGCAGTCGAGGATGTCGGAGAGGAGCGTCGATGGAGAAGTGAAGCAAGGAAGGCTCTTAGTCCTCGCCAGCTTGGACGAAAAAATCGAGAACTTGAAAACTGAAAAGTTTGAAATGAAAAACGTGGGTAAAGGCCAAATGGCCTTCGCCCCCTCTTTTATACCGAAAAAGAGGGGAAGTAGCGGTTCGCCGAAGCATTTTGCTTCGTTACAAATATCTTCGCTATTCACAATACACAATTTTAGAAAGTGTTACACTCTTTCAAAAATTTACATTTTGAGCTGCTTGGTCTGATTTCTTCTGGTCTGCTAGGTGCAGCTAGTTTCTTGATGGATTCAATGCGGCGGAGAAATAGTCGAGAAATTATGTTATGAATTGTACCTTCTAAAAATGCTTAGAGAATCCAGGAAAACTTGCACATAATTGTAGCTCCTACTACAAGCTCTGTCTGACTACAACCAGTACTTTATTCCCACCCACTTCTACCTGCACCCACCATACAGAAATTTTACTTCTAAGCATTTTCACATTTTCGTAAACACTTGAAACCTTCCTCTTCATAGTCAGCCCGTGTTATCCAAAAGTCGGGCTTGTCCTGCAAACATAGTACACACAAATGTACAAACTCGACATGAAATGAAATAAGGTTAGTACAGTGCTACAATATAACCCGCATATCTAGTAAAAGAGTAAGCTCGGTACATGTATACCACCGGTAAGAGATTTAGCATGCATACCTTCATAATATCTGCAAGAACAGCACCCCCGAGGAAGACTAGGTGCTTGCGATTTGGGGGGTCTTCAATCCTTAGCTTGAATTTCTGCTTGAAAAAAAATCGTCAAATAAGGAGGTGAAGACATGCCTTGGGACCAAAGAAGGTGTAGATCGTTGCGACAAATGCATGCGAAGATACGAGATGAGTTCAAGCATCCACAAGGTTATGCGTACGCACTTGCATACGCAAAAAATGCACACATACCAACCACATGCACCCAACCAACCCATCACACAAACACTCTATCTCACACACACAAACACCCACCTTGAGTCCGTCCTTGTTTCCCTTGAGCACGTGCTTCAAGTAGCAATCCCTCACTTCCCTCTCCGATCAGCTGAGCAGCCCAAACAGACCTCTTCAAAGGCAGTAAAACAAGAAGAGAGAGCACGCACCTTGAGTCCGTCCTTATTGCCCTTCAGCACGTGCTTCAGGTACCGATCCCTCACTTCCCTCTCCAATCGCGTGGGCAGCCCGGGAAACATGGTAGAGCCGCCACACAGCATGATGTGTTGGTATAGCTGGTGGCGGTGTGTGGGAGGGAGGGCAGGAGGAGAAAAGGAGGTTTGAAACGGCTTAATAGTCATGTGCTTCAGTTCAGATAACTAACTCTCGTTTTCCTCTCCAATCGCGTGGGCAGCCCCGGGAACATGGTAGAGCTGCCGCACAGCATGATGTGCTGGTACAGCTGGTGGCAGTGTGTGGGAGGGAGGAGAAAAGTTTGAACAGAGAATGATAGAGCCGGAAATGAGGGGAAGGAGTGTGGGATCTTTTGTGGCGCCTCAAAAGTCCTAAAATTTTTTGAGGCGCATCAAAATGGAGTACAGAGAATGATGGAGTCAGAAATGAGGGGAAGGAGTGTGGGGTCTGGCGGCTGAGAGAACCATTTGACTGGCCTCACTTTGCTTGCGAAACACCCAGATTAATGGCAGGCTTGATCTCTAGATTTGTAAACTTCACACACGCTCCGTGGAAGCGAAAGGAAATTTGGGAACACTTCTATGCAAGTGATGCTCTACGTTCGTGTCTCGAAAGGTTCTGAGAGTCTCATCAGCCCAATATAAGCTACTGCTGAACCCGTGCAGAAGGAAAGTAGAGCGACACACTTACGCTCAAGCGATGGTCTATGTCCATGTCTTGAATGGTTCGGAAGATCACATCGGCCAATCCTAGCCCTTCATTGTCGATCAGCTCCTGTAACCACCATGCCATGCCATGCCATGCCATGCCATGCCATGCCATGCCATGCCATGCCATGCCATGCCATGCCATGCCACATGCCATGCCATGCCATGCCATGCCATGCCATGCCATGCCATGCCATGCCATGCCATGCCATGCCATGCCACATGCCATGCCATGCCATGCCATGCCATGCCATGCCATGCCATGCCATGCCACATGCCATGCCAGATGCATGTCATGCCATGCCGGGCGTTGCACACACCACCACCCATACATGCATACCAGCGATACCCATTCATCCACACACCAACCCATACATGCCATGCCATGAGTCCATACATCCACCATACATCACGCCATGCAGGAAATAAATCAAGTAATGTTCCATGTGCAAGTGATTTTGAGTCGACTAAAAAATCATCGACCATACAAGACGACGTGCAGGAAATAAAACAAAGAATGTACCATGTACAAATGATTGACATTCGCATCAGTTTCAAAAATGCCGAAGGTTCTCCTGAAGGCATGCTACAAATAGATAGATTCACGTCGTTCTTTTGCACCAATACAGACACCACTTTTTAGGCGAAATGCAGGAGAATAAGAGAGCCTTCGTAATAGGTAAATGATAAGGATGGAAAGAAGGTAAATGGTAAAAAGGAGTTGAAGGATCCTTTCACAAAATGGTAAATGACGAAAGATGGGGAGAGGAGGAAGGAGACGAGAGAGAAGAGGGAAGCATACAGGGGAGAATAGGGCTTCTGGTGCTTGAAACCGCTCTGCACCTATTCGAATAGTTCGACCGTCAGGCAGCTGATGATGAGAGAGGAAGCGTGGGGAAGGGGGCGAGTGGGGCAGGGTATGTATAGAGGGATGAAAGGAGAGGGATGGATTGAGAGAATGGTGTGTGCACGTGTGTGTGAGCCCCTGTGTGTGTGTGCGGCTGGTGTGTGAACGCATGCATGCACGAGTGCATGAATGTGCTTGGTTTCTAAAATATTATCTCTCTCATAAGAGGATCGTATCGTATCTTATCATTCACGTGCACGTACATATGCTCACACGCTCACACACCCACACCCTCTCCCGCTCCCACTCACAGTGGATTGATCGACAAGCACTGCGGTACCCTCAGTCGGTTGCATCTCTCTCTTGCAGTCACAACTGATGTGCAGGCAGACCGTATTCTGAGTCAAAGCAAGCCTATTGCCTCCCAGGCTCCCAGTTTCCACTCACAGTGATCTGTGAACTGCATGACAAGCACTCGCAGCAAACTGCATCTCCCTCCCGCCGCAGTCACAGGAGGCAACAGGAAAACGATATTCGATTCGAGTCAAAGCAATGCTCCTTGCCCCCCAGTTTCCACTCACAGTAAACTCTTTAACAAGCACTGTGGTGTCCTCAGCCAGCTGCATCTCTCTCTTGTGAACACCACAGATGCAGGGGGGACGGCTTCTGAGTGTAATCAAGCAATGCTCCTTGCCCCCCAGTTTCCACTCACTGTGAACTCTTTAACAAGCACCGTGGTGTCCTCTGCCAGTTGCATCTCCCTCTTGTAATCGCAGCTGCATCACATACAGCCCATCATGAACCCACATTATAGGGCAGGGCGGACGGGATGACGTGGGGGGAGGGGAGGGAGGGAAGAGGGTGAGTGTGGTTAAGAGGACAAAGATACTACTGAGCCGAAGAGGGACTTGGGCAGCTAGTTTGTTTTGAGTCGACTCAAAACAGGGAAGAGGAGAGGGTGGGTGTGGATAAGAGGACAAAGTTATGACTGAGCCGAAGAGGGACTTGGGCAGCTAGTTTGTGGAGAAGCTGTGCACGAAGAGTTGGGCTGGGTTAGTGACTTTGGCTGTGCACGAAGAGTTGGGCTGGGTTAGTGACTTTGGCTGTGCACGAAGAGTTGGGCTGGGTTAGTGACTTTGGCTGTGCACGAAGAGTTGGGCTGGGTTAGTGACTTTGGCTGTGCACGTTTAAGGACGATGCTGATTCAAAGGCAAACGAACGAATGCAGACACTCCCTCACTCACTCACTCACTCATTCGCTCACTCAGTCACTCATTCACGCACTCACCCACTCACTCACTCAATCACTAACTCACACTCACTCACTCACCTGACGAAGCAGAGCTGTTCCTTGATGGCCCTCGCAGCCTCAAAGTCAGACACCTTGCTGAAGGGGTAGCTGGTGAGGAAAGGGGAAGGAAATGGGAGAGGAAGTGTGGCAGAGACGGAGAGGGAGGAGTGGGAGCGTAGAGAAGAGTTGAGCAGCAGTAAAGGAAGCAGCACCGGTCCTTACAGCCTCAAAGACAGACACCTTGCTGAAGGGGTAGCTGGTGAGGCAGGGGGGAGGGAAGGGGAGAAGAAGTGTGGCAAGGACGGAGAGGGAGGAGTGGGAGAAGAGTTGAGCAGCAGTAAGGGAAGAAGCACCGGTCCTTACAGCCTCAAAGACAGACACCTTGCTGAAGGGGTAGCTGGTGAGGGAGGGGTTGGGAGGCAGGCGGAGAGAGGGAAAGAAGGAGAGGAAAGAAGGCGCGAACGGGGGAGAGAGAGCACATACCCATGTCGCATCATGAGATTAATGAGATGAAAAGTGATCTGCCTGCCAGCAATGCTGATCCTCGTTGTGAGTGGACTCAACAGTACAATAGAATCCAAGTCAAGTATGCATATACCTACAGCATGTAGGTGTAAATCAGCCATATGATTAGGCGAGCAGCAGTCTTAAAAGAATTCTTTAGCAAAGGATTAACAGTACGAACTGTTGTATTTCCTGCTAAAAACAAGGAGTTTCAAGAAATCCGACTCAAAATTCCACTAAAAGATTAAAACGAGGCAAACTAGTTTCGGGTGACGGGACAGGCCCCAATCACACCTTCATCAGTGCGAGTGGAAATGAAAGAGAGTGAGGAAGACGAAGCATTTAGGCAAACACTACGTCTCGGAAAACAAAATTCCAGGTTGTTTGCAACCGTGGCCAGAAATCTGGTTGGCCAATCCCTGACGACCTAGAAACGTCCAAGTCTTCGGGGTCTTCATTCCTCGTGGCGTAACGTTGAAGTAGCACAATCCGCCAGCTGGTGCTCAGGGAGCCTCGCGCGAACCAGTAACCTTTGCAGGTTACACCCAGTTTTCCAAGCAACAAAACAACCCTTTATATAAAATCCGCGTGTAAGTAGACGACTTTTGAGACGTCTCAAAACAACCCCTAGTCCGAGGCGAGCCGACACAGGTGTGTAGGTCGTCTTCAGGACTAGGGGTCCGCGGTCAGAGGGAGGGGAGTTTTGTCGCTGGAACTGGTTGGCGAGAGTGTTGGCGAAGAGTGTCGCACGATGTGCGAAAAGGACGCTGCTGAAGATCGGTCGCAGGAAAGCAGGGGGGTAACCCCGATCACGAAGCCGCCGGAAGAAAGCATGCTTCGTCGTTCGGAAGGTCGATGCTGATGTCGAACGTAGTACGTAACGTTGCAGCTCGGCTCGAATGAATCCCTCCTTACAGTGTCGGGGGTGAAATGAGGAGAAGGGGAGGTATAGGTACCTATTCATCGGCTTCTGGAATGTAGCGAAGTCTAGGATACCACACTCAGCAAAACGAGGCCCTTTAGAAAGAACCACGTCCAGAAAGTCTACCGAGTGATCTGAGATGCTCCACGTGATCCTAATGTTAGGATCCAAGCCGTTGAAGGTGCGCAGGTACTCCTCTAAATCTGCCCGCGTACCTGGCCAAAGAATCAGGCCATCATCTATATATCGGACGTGGTAACTTGGTGACACCCCAGTCCACCTCTCCCTCAGCAGCTCATCCAGGCGGCTCATGAAGAGTATGGCGAAGCAAACAGCGACCGGAGTTCCCATCGCTGTCCCTCGCACCTGATGATATACTCGGCCGTCAAACTCAACAAAGGAGTTACTCATGACCCAACCCAGCAGGGCCATGAGTGGTGAGGAGAGCTGCGTCTGGTCCCTCATCAGAAAGCTACTAACTGCTTCGAGCCCTCGATCGATGGAAATGCTGGGGTAGAGCGAGGTAACGTCGTATGTAGCTAGAAGAATGTTAGGCGGGAAAGCCGTAGCTTCTAACTTCGTCAGTAGCGAGAGGGAATCACGCAGGTAGGTGGCGCGTTTCAACACCAGCGGTCTTAATTGCGAATCCAGCCATCTACTCGCATTAGTAGTAACCCAAGAATGTGAGGCGGCGATCGGTCGTCCCACAGGCACTTTCTTATGGAGTTTCGGCAAGATGTAGAATGCCGCTGGATGCCATCCACCAGGTGGTTTATCGAAAAAGTATTTCCACAGGCTGTCAGGAAAAGCAGGTCCCCACGTCGCTTTCAGCTCACTCAGCTGCCGTAGAACGTTCAGAATCGGGTCGTGGCGAACCGGAAGATAGACATCTGCGTCGCTGAGATGTTCCATGCAGAGCGCGACGTAGTGGCTTCGATCCATCACTGTGATGCCGATGTTCTTATCTGCAGGTTTAATGACGATGTTGCGGTTCAGCGACAGGGAACGAATCGCCTCCCGAGCACTCTTAGTTAGATTGTGCCCACGGCGAGGACGAACCGTCTTCAACAGGAAAGACAGATCGGCTTGCGCCGACTTGAAGACCTGCTCCGGGACCACGTCCCTTTCGGGCCACCAGTTAGGATTCCTCACCCGGAAACGGGATGAGGACGACGACCCTTTGTCCTTGAAGAAGAGATCGAGGGAGATCCGTCGGTGCAGTTGATCGAGATCTGCAGCGATAGAAAAGTTCCATGGAGGCGTTGGTATAAATTTGAGACCCATCCCAAGCGCCAAGGTCTCGTCGTGAGACAAAACCTAGAACTCAGGTTATGTACTCCACGATTCCGAACGCGTGACTGCGCCTGCCGTAGAGTCAGTCGTCCGAATCGCTGGAGCGCCAGATCCCTTATCGTTAGTTCTTGCGCGGCCCTTTTCCTGGGCCGCCGCCGCCGTTTTTTGGAACTTGGGCCTTGGTCGAGGATGCTTCTTGGCACTTCCCCCTGCCGCCGCCTTGAGATTTCACTTTCTTCTTGGTTTTCCCGCGTTTCCTCGTAGCCTTCGGTACATCTGCCTTGGTGCCAGAAAATTTCTGGTCCTTGGACGGGTCCGCCTTGGGCTTCGTGGACGCAGGGGCCGGCTTGGGATCCTGTGGTCCCATCGACAAGTTCTTCTTGAACTTAGCAGTGAGTTTCGCCTCAACGCTCGCTGTGATCTCCTTGCGTAGCGTCTCGCCGTACTCCTTTGTAGCTTTCCGAATCAGCTCGTCGATTGCCGGATCCGTCTCCATATGTTCCATCTCTTCGGCAGCAGCAGCCTTCTTCAAATCCTCGGCTTCCTTTTCCTTCTGCATTACCAACTCTCGGATGACGAGCTCATCCCTGGCGTTAGACACCTCCGACTTAGCCTTCTCGATACACTGACCCTTAATCTTCCGGAATCGCTCCTTCGCCGCATCAGACACGGTGAGCTCGGGGTCGGTGGTAAGGCTTTTGATGTAGTCTTCGGTCTTAGTCGCCAAAGCGGTAAGGTGTGAAGAGGAAGCCGCCAGGATCTCTTCAACCTCCAACTCCTTAGACTTGATGAAGTCCTGTTGAATGCGCATCTGATTCTCGTGATGAACCGACGCGACCGATGCAGCAGACTTTTCCCGCGTCTGAGGGTACTTGGTCTGAAACTCAACAGCTTTCGTGCGAATACTATGCAGAATCACACCCTGCTCGTCGAGCGTCTTCATCTTCTTCAATTTCGACCTCGCCTTGAGGAGCGCCTTGAAGTCCTTTCGAAAATCCCTGACAGCCTTCAAAGCCCAGCCTTTAAAAGGCTCCGGAATGACGACGGGCGTATCTTGAACGGATGTCAAGTTGACAGCAGCAGCGGGAGAGTTAGTCGTCGCAGGCTCGTCACTCGAAATTTCCATCGCAGCAACGGGGGGATGATTTCCCGTTTGCTTGTCTTGTTCGTGAACCTCACGGGTTGGTGCAGAACTTTCTCCACCCCCAGTTGTACGGGTACGCTTGCGGTAACCTGCGTAAGTCTTGGAGGTGAGATCCGCCCCACGAGGAATTAATGCAAGACTCGAATCTTCCAGACCGGCATCGCCCGTAGGAGTTGGGAGACCCCAAGTACCTTCAGCCATATGATTAGGCGAGCAGCAGTCTTAAAAGAATTCTTTAGCAAAGGATTAACAGTACGAACTGTTGTATTTCCTGCTAAAAACAAGGAGTTTCAAGAAATCCGACTCAAAATTCCACTAAAAGATTAAAACGAGGCAAACTAGTTTCGGGTGACGGGACAGGCCCCAATCACACCTTCATCAGTGCGAGTGGAAATGAAAGAGAGTGAGGAAGACGAAGCATTTAGGCAAACACTATGTCTCGGAAAACAAAATTCCAGGTTGTTTGCAACCGTGGCCAGAAATCTGGTTGGCCAATCCCTGACGACCTAGAAACGTCCAAGTCTTCGGGGTCTTCATTCCTCGTGGCGTAACGTTGAAGTAGCACAATCCGCCAGCTGGTGCTCAGGGAGCCTCGCGCGAACCAGTAACCTTTGCAGGTTACACCCAGTTTTCCAAGCAACAAAACAACCCTTTATATAAAATCCGCGTGTAAGTAGACGACTTTTGAGTCGTCTCAAAACTCGTTGTGAGTGGACTCAACAGTACAGTAGAATCCAAGTCAAGTATGCATATACCTACAGCATGTAGGTGTAAATGAGTACATACATACCCGCGTCGCATCATCAGGTCAATGAGGTGAGATGTGATTTGCCTGCCCTGCCCGCTATGCTTATCCTCGTTGTGAGCCGACTCAACAATACAAAAGAATTGAAGTAAAAAATACAGAAATATGTATTTGAATGGTACGTACCCTCGTCGCATCATGAGAGATCGATAAGGTGAGACGTGATCTGCCTGCCTGACAGGTATGCTGATCCTTGTTGAATCCAAGCCAAGTATGAATACATAAACATATGTACGAACGAGCACATACATACCCTCGTCGCATCATGAGATCGATAAGGTGAGACGTGATCTGCCTGCCTGCAATGCTGATCCGCTTTGTAAGATGTGGGTAAGCAAACCCTTCCACCACAGGGACCTGGAGGGGAGCTCAAGGGGGAGGGAGGGAAAGGGGGTTTGGGGAGTCACGGGTGGGAGAGGGAGTAAGTTCCAGAGACAGTTGGATCTGCCTGCCAGCTATGCTGACTGATCCGCTTTGTAAGATGTGGGTAAGCAAACCCTTCAACCACAGGGACCTGGAGGGGAGCTCAAGGGAGGGAGAGGGAGGAGGGTTGGGGAATCACGAATGGGGGTAAGTTCCAGAGACAGATGAGTCTGCCTGCTGGCTATGCTGATCCGCTTTGTAAGGTGCAGGTAGGCAAAGCCTTCCAGACAGTAGGTTGTGCGATGCTGGAGGGAAATGAATGTGGGAGTGTGAGAAGAAAGGCGAAACTGAGACAAAAAACGATTGAAGCAGGCAGGGGGGAAGCAAGCGTGCAAGACGCTAGGAGAAACGCAGTGCTTACTGCGTGAGTGGCACTTTCCCCAGAGTCCACCACGAGTCCCGTCAGAATGCGTTCGAGGTGCCTCATATGAATGAAGGCATGCAACATGTTCTGGAGACGCGTCACACACAACATGCAAGGGCAGCACCGGTACTTACTGCGTGAGTGGCGCTTTCCCCAGAGTCCACCACGAGTCCCGTCAGAATGCCTGGAATTGGAGAGAGGGGGAGGGAGAGGAAGAGCGGAAGGGGTTGTTTGGTTGGCTGCCGATGCAGTAACGCAAATCATACTACGAACACTGCACCTATTCTTGAAACAAAGAAGCAGCAGCATTTGATGAATGTAGCGGCACTCTAAGAGAGCAGCAGCAGCAGCAGCAGCATCCAAAGACACGAGAGCACTGAGCAGCACCGAGCAGCACACCTTGGGCGTAGAGTGGCAGCACGGCTTGCAGCTGAATGAAGAGAGAGTCGAAGTTGTACTTCTCAAACATCATTTGCAGCTGCAGTGGAGAGGGCAAAAAGATGGAGAAAAAGGAGGAAGAAGGGGCAGAAGGACGAGACTCAAGGGAGGGTGAGCTGGATGAAGAGGGAATCAAAGTCGTACTTCTCAAACATCATCTGGAGCTGCCGTGGGGAGTGGCGAAACGAGAGGGGGGAGGGGGAAGGGGAAAGAGCGGACGGCCAGCGGGCGGACTCAAGGGAGGGTGAGGTGAATGAAGAGGGCGTCGAAGTTGTACTTCTCAAACATCATCTGGAGCTGCGGTGGGGAGGGGTCGGAAGAGGGGCGGATAGAGGGTTAGAAGAGAGGACAGGGGGGCCTCGGCGGAGGGTGAGGTGAATGAAGAGGGAGTCGGGATTGTACTTCTCAAACATCATTAAAAGCTGCACTGGGGAGGGGGCAATTAGGCGGGAGGATGGAGAAAGAGGGGCGGATAGAGGAGCAGAGGGCGGTCTCAGGGGAGAAAGAGTTAGTCGAATAAAGCGGGAGTCGAAGTTGAAAGCAGTGGTGAAGGTGCAGTCCCACACGTTCCCCATATCGTCCCTCCCACCCACCCATCCACCCACCCTGCGTCCAAGTGGCTCAAGCGGGTAAACCCCGACAAGACCATACAGCCTGTAAGTAAACCCCACGCGGCCCTCACCATGCGTTGGCGGAAATGAATGTGGGAGTGTGAGAAGAAAGGTGAAACTGAGACAAAGAACGATTGAAACAGCCTGTAAGTCAACCCCACGCGGCCCTCACCATGCCTTGGCGGTTCTTGGTGGGATTTAATGGCGGGTCAGTGAGCAGAATCTTGGTCTCAGAGGGGTCGATACCAAGCGCAGTGTTGAAGGTGTAGTCCCACACTCCCCCTGTGCATCCGAGTGACTAATGAAGGTCATACCATGCGTTGGCGGTTCTTGGTGGGGTTGAGCGGCGGGTCAGTGAGCAGGATCTTGGTCTCAGAGGGGTCGATGCCAAGCGCGGTGTTGAAGGTGTAGTCCCACACGTGCCCCATGTCGTCCCAGCGCTGCACCACTCCGTTGTGGATGGGGTAGGTCAGCTCCACTCGCTGCCCGCCCTGCTGCTGCTCCATGCACTGCGAGCCCACTAGAATGCTCTGCTCATCAAAGTAGGGGTGGCAGTAGGGTAAGCATGGGATGGGATTGGACTGAGATGCTTGCTTGTGGATGGGGTAGGTCAGCTCCACTCGCTGCCCTCCCTGCTGCTGCTCCATGCATTGTGAGCCAACGCGAATGCTCTGTAGAGCACAGTAGGGTTGGCATGGGATGGGATTGGAATGAGAGGGTGGATGGGGTAGGTCAGCTCCACTCGCTGCCCGCCCTGCTGCTGCTGTTGCTCCATGCACTGTGAGTCCACTAGACTAGAATGCCCTGCTCACAGCACAGCAAAGTAGGGTTGGTAGGTAGTTGGGTCGGTGGTAGGGTTGGCATGAAATGGGATGGGATAGGATGGGATTGGACTGAACGGGTTGCTTGGCAATGGTATTGAGCTGAATGGGATTGGTGAATCAGCTCAGCTCCACATTCGAGAGAAGAGGGGAATAATGGTTTTTTTGGGAATTTCCGTGAGCGATTTTTGAAATTTCTCAAAATCGCTCTGAATGGGATTGGTACGTCAACTCTGCTCCACAGTCGAGAGAATTGGGGAATGATGGGTTGGATGGGATGGAATGAGATGGGAGAGGATGCAATGGGATGGAGGATTATGAGACTCAGGAGAATGTTAGAGAATGGTGCACCTTATTTCAGCTCAACCGTTGACGCGTTACAGAGTGAACGCCTACAGAGTGACAACGCGTAACAGGGTGACAAGGTAGCAGGGCTTACTGGGGGTGCTTGGCCTTGGGAGGTTTCGTCCAGGCGAACGAGGCGCCGCCCGACGACATTGGGAATGACGGCGACGGGGAAATTGTCGCCTGCGAACCCGCATTTGATGGACTGCGACAGACGGACGCACGGTAATGAGCAAGTGAGCGAACGAAGCGCGAGGAAAAAATCAGGAACGACGAGAGTGTTTAGGAGAATTGCAAAGCGAGGCGAATGTTACGCTACGCGCCGGGAAGTATCAAATGAGCCGCCTTACCGCGCTGCCGTTATCGCAAACGACTATTTTTCGCCTGTCGTCCATGTAGACTGCGATTGCCGAGGAGAAGCAGCAGCTAAGGAAAGTTACGCGCTGAAGGAATCTAGAAGACTAGCGAGATTGGGAGGAACGACTTCGCAGTCTGCGCACACGAAAGCAGATTCCACAAAATGCATTTTATTCTTTGTGCGAACTGCTTGGATTAGTACCATATTCTGCTCTCCGAGTCAGGAGTTCCTAGTGTCACTACAACGAAACAGTCTCATCATTACGGATTTTCGTCAATAGTGGAAGCTTTGTAGGAACGATGCATGAATAATAGATTTTCAGGCAGATCTAAGCTACCTAAATAGTATTATAAAGTATAGTGCCTGAAGTAAAATGTAGTAAATTATTGCACATAGAAAGATGTTGGAAAATGTTGAAACGGGGATGTTGGCAATTCCTTCCAGGGAATGTGGGCTACAAGTCGAGCCGCTACCGCACTGAAACCCCGTTAGAAATATATGCACCCTACACAGCCGCGTCAACCTTGGGAACTCCGAACCGAGCATTTGTGTGCCGTTGATTATTCCATTACCCCGCTGGCACTCAAGGTTCCAACAGAAATGCCACGGCAGCCATCAACCATGTCGCCTCCCCTGCTGGTACTTTCGAGGGACCCTTCCGGACGACTCCACTACCTTGGATTAGACGAACAGCGTGGCAGGCACGGGGTTCTTCCCGCGACCCATTTATTCTCGCTCGAGATGGCTTTTCCGAGGTTGGAATCTCATCCATCACGAGCTGTTCTTTTCATAACCGTTTTCGCTGCCGCTGTCTCCCGCAAACTATCTAGTTGGTCCGAAACAGACGAATTCATTGTCATCCGAAAGGTCTATTCTCAGCAGCGTTCTTCTCTTCTTTCAAATAGCTCGAAAGCATGGCTGCTGAATCGGCGACCGGCTCGGCAGTCAAGGTACCAAGCGAGGGTGGTAACGTTACCAGTAGTAACGGCGTGGAGCACAAGGAGGAGTGGTTTACAAACTCACGCGGAATGAAATTGATGTCCGCGTCGTGGGTACCGGCGAACCGACCGTTGAAAGCACTCATCCTCCTCCTCCACGGTACGTCGCGATGTGACATTTGAGGCGACGCTCGGAAGTCAACCGCTTATTAAAATCACTCATCCTCCTTGTCTACGGTACGTCCTGCTTTAATGGTCCGAACAGGGGCTGGTAGTGGTAGGCCTCGTCGCTATCCTCGTTATACTGCCAGGACCGCATTCTGTACATTTTCTGCTTATTTCCGTTGCTACAAGCCGTTCCTTTCGTCAACTCCCTCGTGATGTTTTTTCCTTCTCTTCCCGTTCGTGGCGTGGCAGGATATGGCTTCGATTGCACCACTTACTTCCAAGGTACAGTATACTGCTTCCCCGCCCTGTGCCTCTTCCCTGCCTTGTGCCTCGTACGAACTGTGCCTCCTGAAGTTTTAAGTCAGTGTTCGTTGCTTTCATATCCCTCCCTTCCACCTCACGCTTCTTCCCTTTTCCCTCCCCCTTTTCCCCACCCCCCTCCTCCTTTCCCACCCCCTTCCTTTCCTCCTCTCCTTTCTGCTCTCCCCTGCGTCGGTTCTCCCCTCTAGCAGCCACGGCAGAGCGACTGGCGTCAGAGGGGTACGGCGTGTACGGGATCGACTTCGAGGGGCATGGCAGGTATGCTGTGCTTTCCAGGCGTTTTGATCGCTACTCACTTTCCTGTTCCTCTGGTCTGATGGGCTTAGCGTCTTCGTTCCTCATTTCATGATCCCTACTCACCTACCTGTTCCTCGGGTTGACGGGCTCAGCGTGTTCATCCCTGACTTCACCAGCCTGGTCGATGACAGCACCTCCCTCTGGTCCCACTCCCTTGCGTCCCACTCTCTCTGCTCCTAACAAGAAATGCCCCCCCATCCGTTACTCTCCGCTCACTTCCCTGTTCCTCAGGTCTGACGGGCTCAGTGTGTTCATCCCTGACGTCACCACCCTCGTTGACAACAGCACAGCACCTTGCTCTGTGGCCCTCACTTGCATGTGTTCCATAAAGAGTAACGCTCCTCCATCCCTCACGCTCTACTATACCCCCTGTTCCGCAGGTCCGACGGGCTCAGTGTGTTCATCCCCGACTTTAACACCCTAGTTGACGACAGCATTGCATACTTTGCTCCCATACGGGGTGCGTAGGGTGTGTGGGTGGGGGGTGAGGGAAAGGGGGAAGGGGGAAGGGAAGGGGGTGCATGGCATGGGCGTATGAATTCTCAAAAACGGCATGGTCGTAGGAGTATCCTTATTGCCAGCCAGGGTCATGGCTATGCTCAAAAGGAGGAATGGAATGGATGTTGCATTCTTCCTCCTCTCGTCTCTGATTTTCCCCTTCCCCTCGTCTCCTCTCCTCTGCGTCTATCCACCATCACGCATCGCCCTCAATCCTCCTCCTGACCCTGACCTGCCCTAACTCATCGCTTCGTGACCTTCCCTTTTTTTTTTTTTTTTTTTTTTTCCTTTCTTTTTTTTTCCTTGCCAGACCGTCCGGAGCACCAGAGCATACCCAAGTTCATGTGTGGGGAATCCATGGGCGGGGCAGTGGCGACTTGCATCCACCGCAAGCAGCCCGACCAATGGGATGGCGCCATTTTCATGGCTCCCATGTGCAAGGTATGCCTCTTTGGGCATGTGGCATGTGGCATGTGGCATGTGGCATGTTGAGATAACTAGTCGCCTGCACACGCTCCCTTCCGTTCCTTCATGAGAAGATTTCACCCAAGGCACAGCCACCACCCATCCTGGTGTGCCTCGTGAAGGGTCTGGCGTATGTGCTGCTGAAGGGCCTGTTGAAGGGCCTGGCGTATGTGCTGCTGAAGGGCCTGTTGAAGGGCCTGGCGTATGTGCTGCCAGCCTTGCATGTACTCCGCACACCCTTCCTCCTCTGCGAATCTCTTCCTATCCGTGCCTTCAAAACCAGATATCAGCCAAGGTGCAGCCGCCAGCCATTCTAGTGTGCCTGTTGAAGGGCCTGGCGTGTGTGATACCCACGTGGCAGATAGTGCCCTCTGCTGACATTGTCACGCCCTCTTGTGCTGTTCTCCCATCACCAGATATCAGCCAAGGTGCAACCACCGGCGATTCTGGTGAGGCTGTTGAAGGGCCTGGCGTACGTGATACCCACGTGGCAGATAGTGCCCTCCGCTGACATTGTCACGTCTGCCATTCGCTGCCCGGAGAAGCTCAAGAAGGTGAGATGGGGTAATGTTGAGAATTCATAGAAAAATTGAGGGTACTTATGAAACGATTGGAAGTAGCCTGCAGATAGTGCCCTCCGCTGGCATCGTCACCACTGCCATTCGCTGCCAAGATGCAGAGACCTCCCTCCCTGCAAGCTGTCTCCCCTGCCCAATTTTGAGGCGCCTAAAAAAAAGTCTCCCCTACCCCCTCCCCACACGTCACATCAACACACTCCCACGCCCTCCCTCCCCCCTCCCCGCCACGCCCTCTCTTCCCCCTCCCCGCTCCCTAAACCACTGACAGATAGCAGCCAGGTCATACACCTACCGTGCTCGAACCGCCCTCACAATGCTTCACGCAAGCCAAGACGCCGAGGCCTACCTCCCCTCCGTCTCCCGGCCCTTCCTGCTGCTCCACGGGGATGCCGACACAGTCACAGAGCTGGACGGCAGCCAAGCGCTGTAGCATTCCCCATTCCCTGTTCCCAACCCCTCTCGATATCCCTTTCCCCTTTCCCCCCCTCTCGAACCCCCCTTCCCTTCTCCCCCTGACAGATAGCAGCCAGCCCATACACTTACCGCGCTCGCCCGCGCATGCGAACAGCCCTCACAGTGCTGCATGCGAACAGCCCTCACAGTGCTGCATGCGAACAGCCCTCACAGTGCTGCATGCGAACAGCCCTCACAGTGCTGCATGCGAACAGCCCTCACAGTGCTGCATGCGAACAGCCCTCACAGTGCTGCATGCGAACAGCCCTCACAGTGCTGCATGCGAACAGCCCTCACAGTGCTGCATGCGAACAGCCGTCACAGTGCTGCATGCGAACAGCCCTCACAGTGCTGCATGCGAACAGCCCTCACAGTGCTGCATGCGAACAGCCCTCACAGTGCTGCATGCGAACAGCCCTCACAGTGCTGCATGTGAACAGCCCTCACAGTGCTGCATGCGAACAGCCCTCACAGTGCTGCATGCGAACAGCACTCACAGTGCTGCATCCGAACAGCCCTCACAGTGCTGCATGCGAACAGCCCTCACAGTGCTGCATGCGAACAGCCCTCACAGTGCTGCATGCGAACAGCCCTCACAGTGCTGCATGCGAACAGCCCTCACAGTGCTGCATGCGAACAGCCCTCACAGTGCTGCATGCGAACAGCCCTCACAGTGCTGCATGCGAACAGCCCTCACAGTGCTGCATGCGAACAGCCCTCACAGTGCTGCATGCGAACAGCCCTCACAGTGCTGCATGCGAACAGCCCTCACAGTGCTGCATGCGAACAGCCCTCACAGTGCTGCATGCGAACAGCCCTCACAGTGCTGCATGCGAACAGCCCTCACAGTGCTGCATGCGAACAGCCCTCACAGTGCTGCATGCGAACAGCCCTCACAGTGCTGCATGCGAACAGCCCTCACAGTGCTGCATGCGAACAGCCCTCACAGTGCTGCATGCGAACAGCCCTCACAGTGCTGCATGCGAACAGCCCTCACAGTGCTGCATGCGAACAGCCCTCACAGTGCTGCATGCGAACAGCCCTCACAGTGCTGCATGCGAACAGCCCTCACAGTGCTGCATGCGAACAGCCCTCACAGTGCTGCATGCGAACCGCCCTCACAGTGCTGCATGCGAACCGCCCTCACAGTGCTGCATGCGAACCGCCCTCACAGTGCTGCATGCGAACAGCCCTCACAGTGCTGCATGCGAACCGCCCTCACAGTGCTGCATGCGAACCGCCCTCACAGTGCTGCATGCGAACCGCCCTCACAGTGCTGCATGCGAACCGCCCTCACAGTGCTGCATGCGAACAGCCCTCACAGTGCTGCATGCGAACAGCCCTCACAGTGCTGCATGCGAACAGCCCTCACAGTGCTGCATGCGAACAGCCCTCACAGTGCTGCATGCGAACAGCCCTCACAGTGCTGCATGCGAACAGCCCTCACAGTGCTGCATGCGAACAGCCCTCACAGTGCTGCATGCGAACAGCCCTCACAGTGCTGCATGCGAACAGCCCTCACAGTGCTGCATGCGAACAGCCCTCACAGTGCTGCATGCGAACAGCCCTCACAGTGCTGCATGCGAACAGCCCTCACAGTGCTGCATGCGAACAGCCCTCACAGTGCTGCATGCGAACAGCCCTCACAGTGCTGCATGCGAACAGCCCTCACAGTGCTGCATGCGAACAGCCCTCACAGTGCTGCATGCGAACAGCCCTCACAGTGCTGCATGCGAACCGCCCTCACAGTGCTGCATGCGAACCGCCCTCACAGTGCTGCATGCGAACCGCCCTCACAGTGCTGCATGCGAACAGCCCTCACAGTGCTGCATGCGAACAGCCCTCACAGTGCTGCATGCGAACAGCCCTCACAGTGCTGCATGCGAACCGCCCTCACAGTGCTGCATGCGAACCGCCCTCACAGTGCTGCATGCGAACCGCCCTCACAGTGCTGCATGCGAACAGCCCTCACAGTGCTGCATGCGAACCGCCCTCACAGTGCTGCATGCGAACCGCCCTCACAGTGCTGCATGCGAACCGCCCTCACAGTGCTGCATGCGAACCGCCCTCACAGTGCTGCATGCGAACAGCCCTCACAGTGCTGCATGCGAACAGCCCTCACAGTGCTGCATGCGAACAGCCCTCACAGTGCTGCATGCGAACAGCCCTCACAGTGCTGCATGCGAACAGCCCTCACAGTGCTGCATGCGAACAGCCCTCACAGTGCTGCATGCGAACAGCCCTCACAGTGCTGCATGCGAACAGCCCTCACAGTGCTGCATGCGAACAGCCCTCACAGTGCTGCATGCGAACCGCCCTCACAGTGCTGCATGCGAACCGCCCTCACAGTGCTGCATGCGAACAGCCCTCACAGTGCTGCATGCGAACCGCCCTCACAGTGCTGCATGCGAACCGCCCTCACAGTGCTGCATGCGAACCGCCCTCACAGTGCTGCATGCGAACCGCCCTCACAGTGCTGCATGCGAACAGCCCTCACAGTGCTGCATGCGAACAGCCCTCACAGTGCTGCATGCGAACAGCCCTCACAGTGCTGCATGCGAACAGCCCTCACAGTGCTGCATGCGAACAGCCCTCACAGTGCTGCATGCGAACAGCCCTCACAGTGCTGCATGCGAACAGCCCTCACAGTGCTGCATGCGAACAGCCCTCACAGTGCTGCATGCGAACAGCCCTCACAGTGCTGCATGCGAACAGCCCTCACAGTGCTGCATGCGAACAGCCCTCACAGTGCTGCATGCGAACAGCCCTCACAGTGCTGCATGCGAACAGCCCTCACAGTGCTGCATGCGAACAGCCCTCACAGTGCTGCATGCGAACAGCCCTCACAGTGCTGCATGCGAACAGCCCTCACAGTGCTGCATGCGAACAGCCCTCACAGTGCTGCATGCGAACCGCCCTCACAGTGCTGCATGCGAACCGCCCTCACAGTGCTGCATGCGAACCGCCCTCACAGTGCTGCATGCGAACAGCCCTCACAGTGCTGCATGCGAACAGCCCTCACAGTGCTGCATGCGAACAGCCCTCACAGTGCTGCATGCGAACAGCCCTCACAGTGCTGCATGCGAACAGCCCTCACAGTGCTGCATGCGAACAGCCCTCACAGTGCTGCATGCGAACAGCCCTCACAGTGCTGCATGCGAACAGCCCTCACAGTGCTGCATGCGAACCGCCCTCACAGTGCTGCATGCGAACAGCCCTCACAGTGCTGCATGCGAACAGCCCTCACAGTGCTGCATGCGAACCGCCCTCACAGTGCTGCATGCGAACCGCCCTCACAGTGCTGCATGCGAACAGCCCTCACAGTGCTGCATGCGAACAGCCCTCACAGTGCTGCATGCGAACAGCCCTCACAGTGCTGCATGCGAACAGCCCTCACAGTGCTGCATGCGAACAGCCCTTACAGTGCTGCATGCGAACCGCCCTCACAGTGCTGCATGCGAACCGCCCTCACAGTGCTGCATGCGAACAGCCCTCACAGTGCTGCATGCGAACAGCCCTCACAGTGCTGCATGCGAACCGCCCTCACAGTGCTGCATGCGAACCGCCCTCACAGTGCTGCATGCGAACCGCCCTCACCATGCTGCTGCACGCAAGCCAAGACGCCGAGGCATCCCTCCCCTTGGTCTCCCTGCCCTTCCTGCTGCTCCACGGGGATGCCGACACAGTCACAGAGCTGGACGGCAGCCAGGCATTGTATGATGCTCCATCCCCTGCCCTCATCCCCTGGCCCCAACCCCTCTCCTTACCCCTCTCCCCCTCCTCCCCCCAACCCCCCCTCCCCTTCCTGACAGATAGCAGCCAACCCATACACCTACCGTGCGCGCCCGCGCATGCGAACAGCCCTCACAATGCTGCACGCCAGTCAAGACGCCGAGGCCTCCCTTGATTCCGTCTCCCTGCCCTTCCTGCTGCTCCACGGCGACGCCGATATAGTCACTGAGCTGGACGGCAGCCAGGCGCTGTATGATCGGGCAAGGAGTGAGGACAAGATGCTGAAAGTGTATGAGGGTGCGTGGCACCTCCTGACTGAGGGGGAGCCTGAGGAGACTGCTGAGGGGGTGCTGAGGGATATGATTGGCTGGCTGGACGAGAGAAGTCAACGCAAGTCAAGCGAGTAAGGGAGGGAATGTATGATCGGGCAAGGAGCAAGGACAAGACATTGAAGGTGTATGAGGGTGCGTGGCACCTGCTGACTGAGGGGGAGCCTGAGGAGAGTGCTGGAGCTGTGCTGGGGGATATGCTTGGCTGGCTGGACGAGAGAAGTCAATGCGAGTCAAGCAAGTAAATGGGTTTTGCACTGTGCAAAAAAAGGGGGATTATTCCCTTTTCCACCACTGCTTTCAACCTGATATTACAGTCTCTGGAATCCTAAAAGAAAAGCCAATACAAAACGTTCCTGGTTACCATGTTACCCATCAGAAATGTCCTTAGTTACTGCCCAAAACACATTGCCCAAAACATCTCTCCCTCATTACCAAATAGCCCAGAAGAGAATGTCCCTACCCATCAACAATGTCCCTTGCTGACTGCTCAAGCCCCAGTAGATGCAGAACTCGCCCACGTTCACACAGGCCAGCGCAGCGGCTCCACGTTCACACAGGCCAGCGCAGCGGCTCCAGCACCAGCCCCTCCTGAGCCGCCTCTCTAGAACCCCCGTGCCCTCCTGCATCGGTCAGAAAAGCCCTTGGTTGTCTGACACCAGCAGGCCAGAGACCCAAGTTGGGAAGTAGACAGGGAAGAAGCCCCAGTAGGGGAAGAATTCTCCCATGTTCACAGGCCAGCCCAGCGGGTCCAACACCAGCCAGCACCATGCCCCAACCCCATCCGACCGATCTGTTCTGGTTAAAACAGCCCTTGATTGTCCGAGACGAGTAGCCCGGACACCCAGGTGGGAAAGTACACGGGAAAAAAGCCCCAGCAGAGGAAGAATTCGCCCACGTTCACAGGCGAGCCCAGCGGCTCCAGCACCAGACCCTCCTGAGCTGTAGACCACACGCTGCTGCTGCGAATCGTCTCCCCGTCGTCCTCGAGAGGTCTCGCTTCTAGTAGAAGCCCCATCACACTCACTGTCTGCCCCTCCGTGACCATCCTGCGGGGTAGATGAGAGGAAAGGGTGGGTTGGATGGGGACGAGTAAGGTGCTGAGCGGTGGTGAATGGGGATGGAGAGAGCACAGAGACACTCCAGCACCAGCCCCTCCTTTGCCCTCGACCACATGCTGCTGCTGCTGCTGCTGCTGCTGAGAATCGTCTCCCCGTCGTCCTCAAGAGGTCTGGCTTCTCTTAGCAGCCACATCATGCTCTCAATCACCCTACAGGACCATTCTGCGAGTGCATGACAGGGGAGTGTGAGTTGGGAAAAAAACAGCCCGGAAATAGACTTGTGAGGCACACGAGCTGGTGAGACTTCTTTCCTAATGCAGTGACCTATCTACCCTGGGAGATGACAAGATCCATCCATTATCAGATGGCATGCGTCTCCAGAAACTGTTTCTTTTTTTTTTCTTTCTTCATTCCTTCTTTCGTTTGAGGCACCTCAAGAATGAAGCAGGTCAGACTCCCCCCTCCCTCAGACTCCCTCCCTCCCTCATGCCCTAACTTACCCTCGGGAGATAACCAGATCCGAAGGCTGCAAGTTGGGATGAGTCTCCAGAAACTGCTGCTCCTGCTCCAGCCAGGAAGTATCCAGGAAGCCGATGATCCGCTTGCTAGACGCCAAAGGCACCACCGTCCCGTGCTGCACAAACGCCGCCAGTTTCCCACGGTCCGCCGCCCGCCGCCCGCACACCAGGATGCTGTCCCCGTTGCTGTCGGATATGCGGAAATCGACGGCCAGGATCTGCCGCAGGTGCTCGCGGCTGCGATAGAACGCTGTCGCTCGGCGCGAGTGGTAGGATTGGAGAGAGGTGCTCATGATGAGGAAACCCTGAAAGAGAGGGGAAAAAGGGGGGAGAGAGGGTAGAATTGCTATAGGAGAGGGCTGCTGCTAGGTGGGAGTGGTAGGACTGAAGGGATGTGCTCATGATGAGGAAACCCTGAAAGAAAAAGAGGGGGAGGGGGTTGGTGGGAAGAGAGGGAGGGGGAGGGATGCGAGGGTGAAGAAGGGTGATGGTGCTCGCAACAGCGATAGAAGGCCGTGGCACGGCAGGAGTGGTAGGACTGAAGGGATGTGCCCATGATGAGGAAACCCTGGAAGAAAAAGAGGGGGGAAAGGGGGGGGGCGGGGAGAATGGGGAGGACAGACCTTACGAAGGAATTTCTGAAATAGAAAGCCTGGTGGGCCTGGAGGGATGTGCTCAAGATGAGGAAGGCCTGGGGGGAAGGACAGGAGAGGAGGAAGAGGGTGGGGAGAGGGTGGGTTTGAAGTGTTACTCCTGGTGGTCATAGGATTCCGTGGATCAGCAGGCATGGTAGGACTGGAGAGATGTGCTCGTGATGATGAAGCCCCGGAAGAGGAAGACAAAGGAGACAAGGAGAAGCAAGACAGTCTAGAAAGGTGGGTGCTTTTGATGAGGAGGTCCTGGGATAAGGGGGAAAGAAGAGCGGACGGTGGGGAGACCAACGAGACTGGAGGGACTGTGGTGGGAGAGCGTGGGCAGAGCTTGTGTGTGTTGTGAAACTGAAGCTGGACGATTAAAAAAATGAAGCTCTGGGAGGAGTGAGTGAGGGAGTGAGAGGCCTCAAAGCAAAGAAGTCTCACCCGATCCCCTTCAAGATTGGACCCTGCTGGCATGGATGCTGCTGGCGATGAGGGAGGGTACAGCAGCTTGCCTCGCCCCACAGGCTCTGCTCTAGGAGCAATTTCCCATCCTCACAGCAAGAGGTCTTACCTGATCCCCTTCGAGGGAGGACCCTCCTGGCATGGATGTTGACGTGGAAGGCAGGCTCACTTGCCCTCGCAGCACCACAATTTTTATCTGGAGGCAATACCTTTTCCCAAGCTAGAGGACTTACGTGATCTCCATCGAGGCTCGACCCTCCTGGCATTGATGCTGACATGGAAGGCAGGCTCACTCGCCCTCGCAGCACCACCACTCGCCCGCCTCTCCGCTGCCCCGCTATAGAGTAACCCACTTTAGCAGCCTCCAGTATATCGCGCTTTGCGTACCGCTTGAGAAACTCTCGAGCGAGTAGGCCGGGTAGAAGCAACGCGAGGAGTAAATTACCCGCGAAAATGATTGCCCAGGAGGTTGTAAGGAAGGCCGTGAATCCTGGAGATGCTCCCATGAGGTGGAAAAGGTAAATAACGAGTACAATGAATATTTGGTACAGTACAAATGTCGCTATAGAGTAATATTTAGGGTCGGACCAAAACTGTATGCACGCTTGTTGACACCTGGTTGGGTCCCTGTGTCCAGACGTCCCCGTTAGAGGCATACGCGTTAAGCCTCTCAAGTTATCTTCGCTATCCGAGTCGCCAAAATGTGCGGCCACGGGAAGACCCTGATGCGCGCTGCTGATGGCGAAAGCCAGCCCGGAAAACGCGGCGCCGAACACGGCGAGAGCTGCGGGGACGGACGATCCTAAGAACGAGGTGATCTGGCCGCCGACATTTGCAGGGCTGAAAATAAAGCCGCCTGCGCCTCCCACAGACGAGTGGTTTGGGGATTCTAAGTCCAATAGTGGGCTGACCGCGATTTCCGCGTCTTGAGAGGCCGCTGCGCCATGGTCGCCGTAGAATGCGGAGATATTGCTGGGAACGTGGCCTATTTCTTCCGTGATTTCCGGAGGGGGGATGGAGGGCGAGTGCCGGGAATGCGGTTGCGGGTTGTGTGGAGCGGTGGTTGGCGGATTGAGCGGACCGCCAATGCGGACCTGAATGTTGGGGTTAATACTGAGTTTTAGCTCAGAGTCTAAAAGGCCGTCGTCTTCGTCTCCCGGCATTTTCGGCAAGAGAGGAGGAGAGATGAAGATCAGACGGTGATCAAGATCGGGCTAATGCTCGCAAATGACGGACCCAATATCTTCGCTATCGGACTAGCTTTGTGACGAATGCCGTCGGATCTGTGTCGTTCGCGAGTTCATACGAGATTTCCGGTCACGGGACAGTAAAGCAAAAGCTCGGTTTAGAAGAGTCTCTGGTGTTGTGGTTTAGGCGGAATCGGAGCCATGAAATATCCCGCACGGCAATTTTTAGGGGGGCATACTGATATGGTTTTGGTTGCTGTTGGTGATACATGAAATCTCTGGTCGACCCCCGAGGAATATGCGAAACGTATCAAAAAGAGAGCCTCAGCGAAATTTGATGACCCAAAAAAACACACTTGCAACACCGGTTACCAGTTTTGTTCACCTCTCCAAGTATGACTGGCGAACCGTAACCTGCACCTCCACGATTGAAAAGGACGGGTGCTGCGAAAATTAACAATGTCGCTCGATTCGTCAGCCCTGCAGTCTGAGTTGGTAGAAGCTGTTGGTTCAGATGACTCCCGCCAGGTGCAGATGTACCCATTTTATCCCTAATATCCTCGCAAAGAACCGCTATGTAACCTAGTGGCTACAATGTGGTTTCGTTCTTGTCTCATTTGGCCTCGGGCTAGCGAGAGCTAAGTTTTGAATGTAACCTCTATGGTTTACTACCCGGACTCTCATCGCTCGATGCCGTTTGAGCGTCTTGTCAAGCCACGTCGAAGTTAAATATGCCCGACAAGGCTCTTAGGATCATGTCAATGCTGCCCTAGATTTGCGCATTTGTCCGCGTTTGCAGCATCTGCATGCGAACTGCTTCGACAAGTTAGGGTTCGTCATCGGGGCCAAGGCTAGTGCTTCACGAGCACGTTTAGGGTTATTACTCCTGCATTTCCCGTTCCGTACTCTGATTTAAAGCGTCGACTACTCGGGTGGCTGATTAAAGGCGTGACGTGGCATCATGGACCAGCGGTTTCAGTTGACAGAGCTCATTGGAAAAGGGTCGTTCGGAGATGTGTTCAAGGGGTAAGTCTCCGTTGTTAATGCCATTGCAGGTATCATTCCTACTATAGACCGCGCTCATACCCTTCGATTTGTCTTGTGAAGTCCATCCTCCTAATTCCAATTCCACTTTCATTCCTGACGGTCGTTTTCCATGTCGTGACGTGGCGTGGCGTGCCATGCACGTCATGGCTGGAAGTCATTTTATATTCGAGTCATAATCAATTCGTGATAGTTTTGTCTTCGCACGGCTTTCAGTGCAGCCATTCGCACACGTTGTCAGCACTTGAAATCTGAACACATGATGGCATGGCATGTAGCATGAAGCATGGGGTGCGACCATGTGTTGGCCTGTGGCGCGACTATGATCTCACCTGCCGCATTGTGCAGTATTGGCAAAAAGACGGACAAGCAGGAGACGGACTCTGAGATCAATAATCAGCCTCCTCAAAATTGTCTCATGTGATGTGACGACATGTTGACCTATGGTGTTACCATGTGGTTACCACATTGTGCAGGATTGACAAGGAGACGGGCAAGCAGGTGGCTGTGAAGATCATCGACCTGGAAGAAGCGTACGCTCCTGCGTTCTTGAGTCCTTTTAAGCTTGCCCTAAGCAGCATGTTTAAGCTTGTCCTAAGCAGCATGTTTAAGCTTGTCCTCCCATTCCTGCCAAGCGATTATCCTTCGAAGTTTTTGTTGAAGCGGACTATCATGAATCAAGCATGGCCTAAACCCTTTCGTACACCATCCCATGCCTTCTCTGCCCTGTGGCATGCCATCGCCTGTGTTTCTGTGCTGCAGTGAGGATGACGTGGAGGATATTCAAAAGGTTAGCATTCTCTCCGTGGCATGCCATCACCTGTGTTCAATAGGATATTCACATGGCAGAGAGAGATGACTTTTGAGTCGACTCAAAAGTCACCTCGATATTCACATGGCAGAGAGAGATTCACGTGAAGTGCAAATCATGCTTGCTGTTCTTTAAGTCTTCACAAGTCTCTTCGAGCCGTTGCAATTTGTCGCTAATCTTCTCAATTCCTGGAACCATATAAACCTGCCCTGTCCGTCTGCACTTGCACTATTCTCTGTGCATGCAATCTTTACCTCTCTGTGCATGCAATCTTTACCTCTCTGTGCATGCAATCTTTACCTCTCTGTGCATGCAATCTTTACCTCTCTGTGCATGCAATCTTTACCTCTCTGTGCATGCAATCTTTACCTCTCTGTGCATGCAATCTTTACCTCTCTGTGCATGCAATCTTTACCTCTCTGTGCATGCAATCTTTACCTCTCTGTGCATGCAATCTTTACCTCTCTGTGCATGCAATCTTTACCTCTCTGTGCATGCAATCTTTACCTCTCTGTGCATGCAATCTTTACCTCTCTGTGCATGCAATCTTTACCTCTCTGTGCATGCAATCTTTACCTCTCTGTGCATGCAATCTTTACCTCTCTGTGCATGCAATCTTTACCTCTCTGTGCATGCAATCTTTACCTCTCTGTGCATGCAATCTTTACCTCTCTGTGCATGCAATCTTTACCTCTCTGTGCATGCAATCTTTACCTCTCTGTGCATGCAATCTTTACCTCTCTGTGCATGCAATCTTTACCTCTCTGTGCATGCAATCTTTACCTCTCTGTGCATGCAATCTTTACCTCTCTGTGCATGCAATCTTTACCTCTCTGTGCATGCAATCTTTACCTCTCTGTGCGCGCGTGTGTGTGCGTGCGTGTTCGTGTGTGTGTCGTTGCATGGGAGCAGGAGATAGCGCTGCTGGCAGAGTGCAGAGCTCCCAACATCACCAGGTAGCATACCATTCCATGCCATGTCTGCCATGCCATGCCATGCCAGTGCTGTGACTTTGAGGCCCACACATATCGAACCTGGCTAGCATTATCTACAGTAATTTCATATTCCCCCTCAAAGCTGATAGTGGTTCCTCCAACATACTACCAGTTTCGTATTCATATGCAGTCAGCATATTCTGATTCTATGTAATGTTCCTTGTTCCGTCCTCACAGGTACTACGGCAGCAGTGTGCACAACACCAAGCTATGGATCGTCATGGAGTTCATGGCAGGCGGCAGCGTCGCTGACCTGGTGAGTCTCGCTTTTAAGATTTTTTTAAGAAGGTTGTGGACCCAAAAGCAGTGCACATACTGCGCCGCGCACAGTGCAAACATCTCACAGTCCATTGCTCGTTGAGGCTCCCTCAGATCAAACCTGCTGCTGCAGGCTCTGGAGTCCCGAGTTCCCTTTGTCGTTTTCTCCTATCTTGATGTCTCTCCCATTCCTTCACCATTTCTCCCCAATCCGCAGCTGCAAGAGGCCCCTCTGGACGAGGCGTCCATAGCCTACATTCTTCATGATCTGCTGCAGGCTTTGGAGTATCTGCACTCGGAGAAGAAGATCCACCGCGACATCAAAGGTGGGGTGCATGTGGTGCGATGACTGAGTGATTGGTAACACTTGGTGTTTGATGTGAGGGGGGCTGTGTAGTTCCCCATGCACGCTCTGGAGTATCTGCACTCGGAGAAGAAGATCCACCGCAACATCAAAGGTGGGCTAGATAGTAGTTGTTGCGTTGACGTTGGGTTGCTTCGTCCATAATGGTGGTGTGGGAGGCGTGAGGAGGGATGTCTTCTCAACAAGAAGGGCGATGTGAAATTTCAGTTCTCCTCCCCTCTGCTCGTACTCCTCCTCCACAGCCCCATGTCCCAGTTATGTCTGCCCGCTACATGATGCCTACCCCTGCCTGGCGCCTGCTGCTCTTTAACCCTGCCTGCCTTCCCTCCTGTCTCCTGCTGCTTCCACCTCGTCTCCCCTGTGCCCCTTCTGCTCGTCCTCTCCTCACCTCATGTCCCCATTCTTTCTGCCCGCTCCCCTACCCCTGCCTGCTGCTCGTAGCCCTATCCTTTGTTTGTATTCCTGTCTGCCCTCCACCCCCCCTTTTCCCCGCCTCCCCTCCTGCTGCTGAGCAGCGGCCAACATTCTGTTGAACGAGGATGGTGATGTCAAGGTGGCTGACTTCGGTGTGTCCGCCAAGCTCACCAAAACCATCTCCAAGCGAAAGGTGTGTTTGGAGTTTTGTGACATTGTAACGAGGTGACTTTTCAGTTGACTCAATTGTCCCCTTTTGTCCGTCAAGTTTGCCAAGGCAGTTTCTAAACGTAATGGCTCTTGCCCTTGAAATGCCTGCAAATCAAGAGACCTCTTCCCTTTTTGTTTGCTTGCTAGTTTCCTTTTTGTTTCCTTTCTGTTTTTTCATCTCACATAGCGCGTTTTGTGCATTACCTGTTTCAACGCCCCTCCTCTGCATTACCTGTTTCAACGCCCCTCCTCTGCATTACCTGTTTCAACGCCCCTCCTCTGCATTACCTGTTTCAACGCCCCTCCTCTGCATTACCTGTTTCAACGCCCCTCCTCTGCATTACCTGTTTCAACGCCCCTCCTCTGCATTACCTGTTTCAACGCCCCTCCTCTGCATAACCTGTTTCAACGCCCCTCCTCTGCATTACCTGTTTCAACGCCCCTCCTCTGCATTACCTGTTTCAACGCCCCTCCTCTGCATTACCTGTTTCAACGCCCCTCCTCTGCATTACCTGTTTCAACGCCCCTCCTCTGCATTACCTGTTTCAACGCCCCTCCTCTGAATTACCTGTTTCAACACCCCTCCTCTGCATTACCTGTTTCAACGCCCCTCCTCTGCATTACCTGTTTCAACGCCCCTCCTCTGCATTACCTGTTTCAACGCCCCTCCTCTGCATTACCTGTTTCAACGCCCCTCCTCTGCATTACCTGTTTCAACGCCCCTCCTCTGCATTACCTGTTTCAACACCCCTCCTCTGCATTACCTGTTTCAACGCCCCTCCTCTGCATTACCTGTTTCAACGCCCCTCCTCTGCATTACCTGTTTCAACGCCCCTCCTCTGCATTACCTGTTTCAACGCCCCTCCTCTGCATTACCTGTTTCAACGCCCCTCCTCTGCATTACCTGTTTCAACGCCCCTCCTCTGCATTACCTGTTTCAACGCCCCTCCTCTGCATTACCTGTTTCAACGCCCCTCCTCTGCATTACCTGTTTCAACGCCCCTCCTCTGCATTACCTGTTTCAACGCCCCTCCTCTGCATTACCTGTTTCAACGCCCCTCCTCTGCATTACCTGTTTCAACGCCCCTCCTCTGCATTACCTGTTTCAACGCCCCTCCTCTGCATTACCTGTTTCAACGCCCCTCCTCTGCATTACCTGTTTCAACGCCCCTCCTCTGCATTACCTGTTTCAACGCCCCTCCTCTGCATTACCTGTTTCAACGCCCCTCCTCTGCATTACCTTTTTCAACGCCCCTCCTCTGCATTACCTGTTTCAACGCCCCTCCTCTGCATTACCTGTTTCAACGCCCCTCCTCTGCATTACCTGTTTCAACGCCCCTCCTCTGCATTACCTGTTTCAACGCCCCTCCTCTGCATTACCTGTTTCAACGCCCCTCCTCTGCATTACCTGTTTCAACGCCCCTCCTCTGCATTACCTGTTTCAACGCCCCTCCTCTGCATTACCTGTTTCAACGCCCCTCCTCTGCATTACCTGTTTCAACGCCCCTCCTCTGCATTACCTGTTTCAACGCCCCTCCTCTACATTACCTGTTTCAACGCCCCTCCTCTGCATTACCTGTTTCAACGCCCCTCCTCTGCATTACCTGTTTCAACGCCCCTCCTCTGCATTACCTGTTTCAACGCCCCTCCTCTGCATTACCTGTTTCAACGCCCCTCCTCTGCATTACCTGTTTCAACGCCCCTCCTCTGCATTACCTGTTTCAACGCCTTGAAACTTAGTATTCACATGCATGCCCCTCCTCTGCCTACTACGTGTGCCCCCCTACGCCTGCCACGTGTGCCCCCCTATGCCTGCCACGTGTGCCCCCCTATGGCTGCCACGTGTGCCCCCCCACGCCTGCCACGTGTGCCCCCATCTGGCACGTGTGCTTAATGAACAGACGTTTGTGGGAACGCCCTTCTGGATGGCGCCTGAGGTCATTCAGAACACCGACGGGTATGATGAGAAGGTGAGTGAGCTCATTGTTGGATTCCCACCACGATTGTTGAAAGCCAACCACGATTGTTGAAAGCCAACCACGATTGTTGAAAGCCAACCACATTTGTTGAAGCCCCTTGTTCTGGGTGGTTTCCAGGCTTTTTTTTTTCATGGTACTGCCATCTTCCATACTCCCTCCACCCCCCTCCCCCTCCTCCCCGTCACTTCTCCCACCAGGCGGACATCTGGTCGCTGGGCATCACAGCCATCGAGATGGCCAAGGGGGAACCGCCCTTTGCGGATCTGCACCCCATGCGCGCACTCTTCCTCATCCCCAAGGACCCTCCGCCGCAGGTGAGTGAGAGCACCCATCACCTATCTGCAGTGACCTATCTGCAGTGCAGGTGAGATGCAGTGCAGGTGAGATGCAGTGCAGGTGAGATGCATGCATGCGGTTCTCCAGTCTAGCATACCCAGTGGGTGCCGATCTGCACCCCATACGCGCACTCTTCCTTATCCCCAAGGACCCTCCGCCGCAGGTGGGTAGAAAGTTTGACCTTCCCTTTCGAGCTTCTCTTGCTGCTCTCCCTCCATCTTCCATCCACCATCTTCCACCATCTTCCACCATCTTCCACCATCTTCCAATCAATGACTTCCCTTCCCCTCTTTCCTGTCCTTCCTGTTCCCCCCACACAACCCACTCGTGCCAGCAGTTGGACATCATTCCTGTTTGTCTACCTCTGCCTTAACAAGACTCCCTCTCGTCTCCCTTTTCCTGTGCCCTGTCCCCCCCGCACAACCCTCTCTTGCCTACAGTTGGACGACCACTTCTCAAAGCCCTTCAAGGAGTTTGTCAAACTCTGCCTCAACAATACTTCCACTCCACCCACCCGTCTTCCCTTTCCCCTGCCCTGTTTCCTTGCCACCGTCTTCCCCGCCTCTCCCATTATTCCCTTCCCGTTTTCCCTGCGCAACCCGCACCTGCCTACAGTTGGACGACCACTTCTCAAAGCCCTTCAAGGAGTTTGTCAACCTCTGCCTCAACAAGACCGCAAGAGAGGTGAGAGGGTTGGGGGAAAAAGGGGAAGGGGGTGGGTGGAGAGGCGAGAGGAGCGAGTGGGGAGGCGGGTTAAACAGGGAGAAAGGAAGGTGATTAGGAGATGGGATTTGAGATGACATTTTTCCCATCTTTCTCTGACTGTCTGCTCTGCCTGGATAGGCCCTGAGACTACGAGCTGCTCTGAAGCATCGGTTTGTCAAGTACGCATGCAAGGGTCAAGTCAAGGCAATGCGGACCAGTGACCTTTGCCTCCCACTGCAAGATTCAACAATTTTGCTTGTCCCTGTCTGTTCACTCCGCCTGATTCACTGCCCCCAGTGGCCCAGCGCCAAAGAATTACTGAAGCACCGGCACTGGCCTGTCAACTAGGCACGCAAAACACCGCGGATCATTGACCGTGTGAGGGAGAGGGTGGAGAGTGCGGGGGAGCGAGTGGTGTTGCGAGATCATCAACCCTTGCTCTCTCTTGCCTCGCTCCCCCCTTGCGTAATTTCTTTGAATGGTTGCCGAACTTGATACAGAGACCCAGCGCCAAGGAGCTGTTGAAGCATCGATTTGTGAAGTATGCGCGCAAGACGCCAAGGATCATCGACCGCGTGCGGGAGAGGGTGGAGAGTGCGGGGGAGCGAGTGGTATCGCCGCGCATGAAGCCAGACGACCAGGTGGACGGCCCTCCCCAATCCGCCGCTGCTGTCGCCGCAGCTGCTGTTGCTGCCGCCACCGCTGCTAGCAGCGCTCCCAGGTTAGTTGTGCTTGCCTTGGCATGGGGTATCGGTGCAGGGGATGGAGAAGGAGAGGGTGGAGAGTGCGGGGGGGCGAGTGGTATCGCCGCGCATGAAGCCAGACGACCAGGTGGACGGCCCTCCCCAATCCGCCGCTGCTGTCGCCGCAGCTGCTGTTGCTGCCGCCACCGCTGCTAGCAGCGCTCCCAGGTTAGTTGTGCTTGCCTTGGCATGGGGTATCGGTGCAGGGGATGGAGAGGGAGAGGTTGGAGAGTGCGGGGGAGCGAGTGGTATCGCCGCGCATGAAGCCAGACGACCAGGTGGACGGCCCTCCCCAATCCGCCGCCGCTGTTGCCGCTGCCGCCGTTGCCGCCGCCACTGCTGCCAGCAGTGCTCCCAGGTCAGTCGCGAGTAGTGGCGTTGATAATTGCTTCCAGGTAGGGACTAGGCTAGCAGTGGTTCATCTGTGAGATCGGTGGAGAGTTGAGCCGGTATCCCATCGGTGGAGAGAGGTAGGGACTCTTCCTTAACCCATCCCTCCCTGTTCCCTTCTGGCAGTCTCGCATGGCGAGTTGGGATTTCGGTACGGTTACGGGCACCATGAAGCCCACTGAGGCGCTGCGCCTCGTCGTGCTCTTTTCACACTCACCCAAACCTCGCATGCTCTCCTATCCTCTCCTCTCGTCCCCTCAATACTCGTTTCGCATTCCTCCCTGTTCGCCTCAGGCACTCGTGCATGGCGAGTTGGGACTTTGGCACGGCTACAGGCACCATGAAGCCCACTGAGACACTGCATCTCAATTCATAACCACCCAACTCTAACGTGCTCTCCTCTCCCTCCCCTCCCTCCAGGCACTCGCGCATGGCGAGTTGGGACTTTGGCACGGCTACAGGCACCATGAAACCCACTGAGACACTGAGGCGCCAGATCCCTCTAGCAAGGGTCCTGAGTCCTCACACTGGCTTTCCGCTGGTTCTCTTCCTCCCTCCCCTCCCTCCACCCCTCCCTCCCCAGGCATTCGCGCATGGCGAGTTGGGATTTCGGCACGGCTACAGGCACCATGAAACCCACTGAAACACTGCGCAGGCAGATTCGCGCCGCTGTAGCTGACCCTTCTGAGGGGGGTGGGGCTGATGGCCTGGGGCGGGATGACGGGGGAGGGGGAGGGGGCGGGGGGGATGGGTACGATGGGGGTAAGCGGAGTGGGACGGTGCGGCGCAAGCCGCGTGACTCTGGGAGTGGGACTGTAAAGAAGGGCGCGAATACAGGCACGGTTAAAGCCAGCAAGGGGAAAGGGGGGTCGTCTGGAGGATCGGGGGGAGGAGCAGGGGGAGGAGGGGGAGGAGGAGGCGGAGGGGGAGGGGGAGGAGGGGGAGGAGGAGGGGAGGAGGGAGTGGCGAATGGGGAGAAAGGGGGATTGTATGGGAGCGGGTGGGGGAGTGAGAGTGAGGGCTCAGGCACCGAAGAAGATGGGGTGAGTTGGGTTCTTACACTTTTGTAAGGTGGGGCGATTACGTGTTTTGGATTTTGAGAGTGACTTTTAAGTGTTTTGTTTCTTGCAATCCCATTGCCTTCCCGTTTCAAGACGTCACAATATTTTGCAATCTTACTGCCTTCCTATGTTCTCAGAATGCCGTGTTTCACAGAAGAGGATGGGGCACGTTTTGACTTGCTTCCCTCGCCCTTACCACCTTTTTGAGAATTCTCACAAGTGATTTCAGTGCGCTCTCTTTCTTCCCTCCCGCTTTTCCAACCCTTTTCCTTTGCCTCACAGGAGGGCGGCAAGGGGCGCAGGAGAGGGAGCAAGCCCCCCCTGCCTGATGGCTCTCGAGCGGTATGATGGGTGCTGGCATGGATGGGATGGGGTGGGGGCTTGATGGCATGGGTGATGGGATGTGGTGGCAATGGTAACACGGATGGCATGCGGGGTGCGCCAAGTGTCGCAGGAGGGGCAGCAAGCCGCCCCTGCCTGATGGCTCTCCTGCGGTACGATGGGAGGTGGCATGGAAGGGATGGGCCAAGGTTGGTGTCAGAGGGGTGTTTGAAGTAGTGTTTTGAGACGTCTTAAAACACTACTTCAAACACGTGGTTTGATGGGAGGTGGCATGGATGGCATGGGCCAAGGTTGGGGTCAGAGGGGTTATAGCCTCCTTACTCGCTCGTCTCGGTGTTTTGAGACGTCTCAAAACACGACTCACTACACGAGGTGGCATGGATGGGTGGGGCCAAGGTTGGTGTCAGAGGGGTTATGGCCTCCTCCTTACTCGCTCGTCTCGGTGTGATGGGAGGTGGCATGGATGGCATGGATAGGATGGGCCAAGGTTGGTTGGTGTCAGGGGGGTTATGGCCTCCTTAATCTCTCGTCTCGGTGTGCTTGTGTGTTACTCTCCTTGGGTTCCTCAGTCCAACTCTGCAATGCGCTGAGCTGATTAAATGTTTCTTGTGTGTTCCTCCCGTCGTCCCTCTTTCTTGTATCCGTCTCCTTTTCTCCTCTCCCCTCTCTCCGATTTTTGCGGAGGGAGGGAGGAAGGAGGATTCGCCAACCAACATGGCAGAGGCGCCGAGGCACTGAATCAGGCACTGTATTGTGCTGATTTAGCTCGGATGTTCCTTCTGTGCACTCTCCCTTGGCTTCCCCAATCTGACTCTGCAGAGGGCGGAAGAAAGGAGGACTCGGAAACTAACATGGCAGAAGCACTAAAGGCCATGAGGGGGGAGGGAAGCACGATGCTGCTGAATCGACTCTTATGTTCCTTCTGTGCGCCCTCCTTCCGTGCACCCTCCTTCCGTTCACCCTCCTTCCGTGCACCCTCCTTCCGTTCACCCTCCTTCCGTGCACCCTCCTTCCGTGCACCCTCTCCTTTCTTCAGGCTGACTCTGCAGAGGGCGGAAGAAAGGAGGACTCGGAAACGAACATGGCCGAGGCACTCAAGGCCATGAAGGGGGGAAAGAAGGGCGGGGGAGGGCGCGCGAGCAGAGGAGGCGGGGGAGGGGGGGGGAGGGGGAGGGGGGGATGCCATGGACAGTGGCACAGTTCGAACAAGGTACGTGCTGTACTGTGGGAGAGGGATGATGTGGGGTGTATGTATGCTGTGAGTTGCTTGTGGGTTGACCAGAAGCGGCGAGCAGAGGGGGCGGGCCAGGAGGGGGAGGAGGGGGGGGGAGATGCCATGGACAGTGGCACAGTTCGAACAAGGTACGTGCTGTGTGGGTGGGATGGGATGATGTGGGGTGTATGTATGCTGTGAGTTGCTTTTGGGTTGAGCAGAAGCGGCGAGCAGAGGGGGCGGGCCAGGAGGGGGGGGAGATGCCATGGACAGTGGCACAGTTCAAACAAGGTACGTGCTGTGCTGTGCGGGTGAGATGACGTGGGATGTATGTATGCTTTGATTTGCTTGTGGGTTGAGCAAAGGGGGCTAACAGAGGAGGAGCGGGAGGAAACGGCATGGACAGTTGCACAGTACGAACGAGGTATGTGCCGCGAGGTGATATGGGATGATGTGCGATGTCTTCTGTGAGATGATATGGGATGGCATATCCCCCACCCCTCTCTCTCTCCTGCTCTCTCTCCCTCTCCCTCATTCACTCCCTCTCCCTTCTCCATCTTTCCTCCTTTGGCATCCCAGAAAACCCAAGGCAGGGGGGCGGAAGGGCGGAGGAGGAGGGGGAGGGGAGGAGCAGGGAGGAGCGAGAGTGGCTGGCAGGGATGCTGCTGTGTCGTCTTCTCCTCTGCTATCCCTTGTGCTCATGCCTGCATTTAAAGAGGTATGGCGCATAAGTTGGTACTTTTGAATCAATGGGTCTGGTTATTACCGTCTGTTCAAGAAACCCCCCACCTCCCCCCCCCCCCCCCCCAACCTCCCTTCCTCCCCACCTTCCTCCCCCCCACTCTGCAAAAAAATGAAGAAACAGCAGCAGATGCAGCGTGCAAGGATAATGTCCTCTTCTTTCTTCTCCAATTCAAACCCCCTGCTCAAGCCAGGTGGCAGCGGACCAGCAGGAGCAGGCAGCAGTGCGGCCAGCAGTAGATGTAGCAGCAGATGAGCCTCATGTTCCCTTCTCCACCCTCTTTCTGATTCGATTTTGTCGCTTGTTCCCTTGCCTCAGGTGGCAGCGGATCAGCAGGAGCAGGCAGCAGTGCGGGCAGCAGCAGACGCAGCAGATGCTCTGGTGGAGATGGAGAGGTGTGCCCCTGGCTCCTGTCAGCTGCTGCTTGCCAGCCTGCTCGGCAAACTCGGCAGGTAAGCTCTCTTTCATCTCAGCAAGCAGCACATGCACCAGTGCGAACAGCAGTGCGGGCTGCCACAGATGCAGCAGATGCGTTGGTGGAGATGGAACGATGTGCTTCCGGCTCCTGCCAGCTGCTGCGTGCCAGCCTACTCGGCAAACTCGGCAGGTAAGCTCACTCTACTCAACCAGCCCATGTGGTGTAGATGGTTGGGAGGAAAGGCACCATGTCTCTAAGTAATTGAAGAAGTGTTTTGAGACGTCTCAAAACACTTCTTCATTCACGTGTCTCTAAGTATCCTCAATTACTTAAGATTAGAGTGCATCAGAGGAGGTGCGTCCATTGCGTGACTCACACCCATCTCTTTCTTCCCTTTCCTTACCTGACGTTTCTCTCCCACATTTACAGTGCATCAGAGGAGGTGCCTCCTCTCCGTGACCTGAAGGCCAACGCGCGCAGGCAGTTTGGGGGGCCAGGGGGCGAGGGAGGAGCGGATGGGCGAGCGGACAGGCGGCATGGCAAGGGGGGCGACGATGACGTGAACAACCTCAGTCCCCTGGGAAGCTTCCTCCTCCGCAGGTGGGTGAAGGGCCATAACGAGAGGCGGTTTTGGGGGCCATTAGATAAAGACCAGGGAAGGGGGATGGGCGAGCGGACAGGGGGCAAACTTCCATGAATAAAATGGTTAGAATGAGTTGCATGTAAAGAATGAAATGAGTTGCATGTAAAGAATGAAATGAGTTGCATGTAAAGAATGAAATGAGTTGCATGTAAAGAATGAAACGAGTTGCATGTAAAGAATAAAATGAGTTGCAGGTTAGATTTTCCAATGGATGCATTCTCCACCTCCGAATATATTCTCATCAATAAATCGTAAAGATTGTCGGTGGTAGCGTTCGGTATGCAAGGTGGGAATGGTGATCTCTCCACAACCTTCTCATCGGGCAGGTTCCTCCTGTGCAGGTTCGCTGAAGGATTTTTTTTTTTTTTTTTTTTTTTTTCTTCACGAGGTTAGAGGCATCTCCGAACTCCTTGTCTTTGTTAGGCAGGAATCCACCTTGATCCTCCTCCTCCTCCTCCTCCCCCTCCTCCTTTCAACCCGCACCTCTCTTTCTACACCCACGCAGATGGAAGGGAAACTCGCTGCTGGAATCGGGATGACCTTTCAGGCTTCAGCCCTGCTCTGCTAACGTGTACTCAGATGCTGAGTTGAGGTGGCATGGTGGAATGTCTACTTTTGAGGCGCCTCAAGAATACAGACCTTTCAGCCCCACGCTGCTGACGTGTACTAAGATGCTGAGTTGGCATGGTGGGAAGGATGTCTCAAACCAGCGTTGTAATGTCTTAATCTACAGCTGACGTGTAACACAATGTGATGTGACGTGTACTAAGGTGCTGGGTTGGCGGGGCGGGGTGGGATGTCTCAAACCAGCGTTGCTTGCAACGTCTCAATCTACGGTTGAGGTGAAACATGATGTGATGTGAACGGTGATGCCGGGTTTGGTTCTGTTATAACTGGAGCGCCTCAAACAAGCTTTGAGGCGTGTTTTGAGTCGACTCAAAACACAGCTTTGAGTTGAGGCATCACGAAGCTGAAGCTGTCAAGGCAGAGATGTAAGAGGATGTTGGGATGCAGTTGAAATGGTGGATATATACCGGTATCAAAGCTCAACTCAAGCTGATAGCGTAAAAAGGGAACTTGGACAATCTCCTGAAGTGTTTATCCAGTGGTGGGGGAGCGGTACTACTTGATCTTATGCAAACGATCCTCCATCACATAAAATGTGATTTTCACTTATCGTCATTGCCCCATAGTTATGCGTTTTAGCTGAGCGATAAATTTAACTCCCATTTACAGGAAAATTTTGTGTTTCTATACCAAATCTCTTTTCAAATTCCTCGTCCGAGCACAGGAGGAATTGAATCAAGCACACCATCTTCCCTTAAAGCTCGCGTCTCATATTTCTACTATCCAACCAAGTGTTAAACGGTTGGAATTTGGTAACAGCAAAGTTTGTCGCAAAGCACACCAAAGCAAGGGGTGGTTTGGGAAAGTTGGCTGTCGCACACTTCCCGTGCACACCAAGCGTTTACAACTTCCAAAAATATGACTCTGAAACTCAACATTGACAGAAGGGGGGACCGAACCTGTCCCCCTTGGCTCGTTTTCCACCCAAACCAACCCACCCTGGTTTGTTTTGGCCTCGACTGTTTTGGTAGTTCGCTGTGATTTTTTCACAAACTCGTCAAATATTTCGTTTTCGTTACCCAATCACAGTCGGGCAAACCCAACCAAGTGTTAAACGGTTGGAAATATGAGACGCGAGCTTTAACCCTGCTACAGTGCCGCCAAGCCAGAACTTTCCACCTCTTTACCGCATTCCACCTCATCACCACTTTCCACCTTTTCACATCCTTCCACCCCATTAACCACTTCCACCTCTTGCTATCCCTCTCCCAACCATTCGCCTTTCCATTGAACGGCCATCACTCTACGTGGCACCAACACATAGCCCATGCTCAGTAGCGCCACATGTCGCGGTCTGATTCGCCGATCCAAACTGTACCTTAGGAAATAAGGGAACGCAAGCACCTCAATTATAGACAGCACCCATGTCCCGTTTTAAGTACTCCACCTTGTGCCTCGTGTTCCTCTCCCAATTGAAGCAGATCGATGCTGGGTACTTAAGAACCAGACTCAACACTAGGTCACGAGCTATGGCACTAGTTCTGCTCTCAGCCATGGGACCACTCGCCAACGCCTCTTCCACTTCTCGCACAAGTTCTCTGAAACTCCCCTTGATATTCTTCTCACTGGAACTCAGCAGCAAATGATACCGCACCATTGCAAGTGCAACATTCTCTCGCCCAATCAGATCGCTCCACAAGGCCACTTTGCCTTGCAGGTTCTCTAAAGATAGAGCAAGAACCATCGGATGGGTTCGCACCACACTCCCTGCTGCCTCCTTCCCCACTAGCTCCACTAAGAACTGAAACTTAGCTAACAGATTCTGCGAGCTGTAGAGGACGATGGTGGGGGCAAGGCGGAGAACCGGGCTTGCTATGGATGGGGTACTAGGGGGAGTGAAGGACTGGAGGAGGCGGAGGTTGGTGGAGATGACCTTTGGGTAGGAAAGGATGATGTGCGGACATCGCAACAGGAGTTTGCTCAGGTGATCCTTGTCCTTGTTTTGCCTTGTCAGGTGCTGCTTCAGGTGCCCGCTGCTGACGTTTCTTTCTTCAGATCCATCAGTCAAGTACGCTGATAGCTGCTCTAGCCGGCTTCGTATGGATTCTTCCTTGGTGCATAGGATGTTTGGGGCTTTCTTGATCAGCACACCTAGCTTGTCAACTGGAACCCCTGCTCTCTCCACCAAAATGTCCAGGTTTGCTGAAGGGGCCTGCATTCTGATGAGGAAAGGAGCACCACGGAGCACCGAACCTAGCTTGGTACGGCGGACACCCCGAGCCAAGAGAAAGTCAAGCTTATCCTGAATCTGTGGAAGGGGGGGTCGGAACCAGCATGTATTTCTCATGGTGATGACTACAATGTCAGCGCGGGATAGGCCATACGACTGGAGAAGCTGGACATGTGGCAGGAATGTCAAAGTACATCTTACTTGTAGGCTATAGTGGGGCACTCCTTATGGGGTACAGCACTTCTAGGGTTAGTACTTGTACCCCAACCCTTGCTAATCCAATCATTCCTGCACAGTTCTCTCGATATGGTTTCAGAGCAGGTCCATCTGTAGGACCACTCGTTTAGGGCCCACCGTTAGTTCCGTTCTGCCCATTTTCCTGCCCGAATCGCGCCCCTAGGCTGGCCGTTTTTCCCGCCCGAATCGCGCCCCTAGGCAGGCCGTTTTTCCTCCCCGAATCGCGCCCCTAGGCTGGCCGTTTTTCCTGCCCGAATCGCGCCCCTAGGCAGGCCGTCTTTCCTACCCGAATCGCGCCCCTAGGCAGGCCGTTTTTCCTGCCCAAATCGTGCCCCTAGGCAGGCCGTTTTTCCTGCCCGAATCGCGCCCCTGGGCTGGCCGTTTTTCCTGCCCGAATCGCGCCCCTAGGCTGGCCGTTTTTCCTGCCCAAATCGCACCCCTAGGCAGGCCGTTTTTCCTACCCGAATCGCGCCCCTAGGCAGGCCGTTTTTCCTGCCCGAATCGCGCCCCTAGGCAGGCCGTTTTTCCTGCCCAAATCGCTCCCCTAGGCTGGCCGTTTTTCCTGCCTGAATCGTGCCCTAGGCAGGCCGTTTTTCCTACTCGAATCGCGCCCCTGCTGCTGCCGCTCCAGCCCCTGTTACTGCAGCTACAGCCCTACTGGTGCAACTACAGCCCTTGCTGCTGCCGCTACAGCCCTTGCTGCTGCCGCCCCAGCCCCTTCTACTGCAGCTACAGCCCTGCTGGTGCAGCTACAGCCCTTGCTGCTGCTGCTACAGCCCTTGCTGCTGCCGCTACAGCCCTTGCTGCTGCCGCTACAGCCCTTGCTGCTGCCGCTACAGCCCCAGCCCCTTCTACTGCAGCTACAGCCCTGCTGCTGCAGCTACAGCCCTTGCTGCTGCTGCTACAGCCCTTGCTGCTGCCGCTACAGCCCCTGCTGCTGCCGCTCCAGCCCTTGCTGCTGCCGCTACAGCCCTTGCTGCTGCCGCAACATGCTCTGCTGCTGCTGCCTCTGCTGCATGCTCTGCTTCTCCTGCTAAGTGCTGCTCCTTACTGCAGCTGCTGCTACTTGCTGCAACTGTCGCTCCTTGCTGCTGCTACTTACTGCTGCTGCTCTCTACTGCCACTGCTGCTGCAACTCCTCTTGCTGCTCCTGCTGTGCGCCTTCTCCTACGTGCTGCTGCTGCTGCTCCTTGCTGCAGCTGTCGCTCCTTGCTGCTGCTGCAGCTTGCTGCCACTGCTCCTTGCTACTGCTGCTGCTGGTGGAGGTGCTGCTGGGAGTGCTGGGAGTGTTGCTGGTGCTGGGGGTGCTGGAGGTGCGACTGGGAGTGCTGGAGGTGTTGCTGGTGCTGGAGGTGCTGGACCTACTACTGACCGTCACTGCCTGTCATGGCCACTATCACGGCATTTGCAGCAGCTAGGGGTGGACAGCGGCGGTCGCTGCCTCTCCAGGACAACCCCACCCCTCAGCAGCTTCACGAGTGGGTTCTTCAGCGAGCCCGTCCAGGTGGTGGAGGCTTTGGTTTTCTATGTCCTGCGCAGAGGCGGCAGCAGAGTCAGCAAGAGACCTTCTCCCCGCAGGTGCTTAGTGAGTTGTTTCCTCAGCGATGTGTCACTGGTTCTGTCGAGGCTGCTGCACTAGGTGCTAGTGAGTCTGCTGCCGCACTAGGTGCTAGTGAGTCTGCTGCAGCTTTAGGTGCTCGTGCGTCTCCCGCCACAGGTCCTTCCTCAGCTGAGGCCTTGCACACTTTCACACTTGACTCAGGCGCGTCACGTTGCTTCTTTCGTGACTGCAACTCACTCACACCACTTGCTGCACCGGTACCGGTCTCACTGGCTGACCCCACTGGGGGCCCAGTAGTCGCGCGAGCCTCCACTGTCCTCCCGTGTCCAGCAGTCCCCTCCGGTTCTTTGTTAGGTCTCCAC